AGTAGGACGGACCGTCATGGCTATGACGGTCAGTCAAGGACTTCCATTTCAACACTAGGTCAGACTTCCTCGTTGTCCTTCAGCAGTTTCCCTACGATGCCACCTATGGACTGTCACAAGCTCGACAGACCGACAAAAGCTCCGTAGGTGGTCTCTTCGTCCAAAAACTTCTGCTTTTATCTAAGGAAAGATTTCCTGCAAATAAGGAGAAACTTACAGAAAAATCAATACAAAAAGGCTTTTGACACACACTAAACTTAAGGTAAAAACATTAATAATACAGTGAAACCTCGGTATATATGTAGGAGATATGTATTGAACCCTCTATATGCCAATTATAATTGGAGTCCCCATATCATACGAATCATTGTGAATGTAACAACCCTAAAAATAAATATGTTAAGAAATGCTTAATGTGTCAAGACAGCATACGATTAGACGAAGGTTCACACGGATTGATACGCGTCGAACCAGACCTCAGAACCTTTACTACGAAAAAGCCACCTAACTTGAGGAGTTAGTTGAGCTTTGAAAGGTGGAACCAACCATATAGGGCTATCGAAAACAAAGATTTTATCGAAGGATTCTTTACCAAACATAAAAAGAGGAAATTTTAAGTTTTGAGAGTAGAGGGGTAAAATGGTCTTTTTCAGGACAAGGGTAATTCGTAATTACCATAAGGAACTAATTAATTAATTAATTTAATTAAAGAACCAGTTCGGGTTTTATCAACCCAAAATGGCCCATTTTCGCAAAATGGTGTCACACGAGTTTGAGCCACAATGGAGAAACAAATTGGTGATTTATTTATTATTTAAAATCTGATTTTTCAGGGGAAAAATGTTTCTTTCAGGTATAATTAATTTAATCAGATTTTATGTAGTACGGAGATTCCTAAATTAACTAAGTCATTATATAAGCCTAAACAACATCACATGTTTCACTCTCTCACGCCTATCACAACCTCATGTTCAAACTGTATTGTTTTCTCTGTGCCAATTAACATGAAGAACAGAAAATATAACAAAGTTTCTCCACACTTGAAGAACTCACGAAAAAATCTAAGAAAGCAAGCTAATAAAAAACGTTGAGGCAAGGGCGATTTCCGTCGAGTTTGTGGTGAAACATTGAGTGATTTGGACGTGGTTTTGGAGAAAGATTTGGGCACAAAATTCAACTTATGAACATCAAATAAGGCATAAGTTTCTTCTCTCTTGGTCCCTTTCCTAAGATACCCCTTAATGTTCAAGATATTCATTCCGAAAACTAGGATTATTGCCCGTTGCATGTCCCTGTCCCTAGCTCCCATTGAATTAAGGTTAGGTATGTTTGCTGGTACAAAGTAGGGATGAAATGTTTTTTCGTGAATTTTATGTTTAAGTATGCTTGTTTGGAATTATGTGAATATTTAATATGTTGTCCAAATCATGTAAAAAATGATGTGTGTGTGCAAAATGTGGCAGTGAACTTAGTCACTGTTGGAGGTGTGAAATTCAAGGTTTAATCCTTGTATAATATTTGGAAAAGGTGTACACAATATGATGTTCATTGTAATGAATCCTTGCTGATTGAATAGGAATTTTTTTGTCAAACAAAACTATGAAAGATGCACCGAAAAATGTGTTTAAACGGTCTTCGAAATTCCTTAGGAGTTCAAGAAAGAACGTTGAAAAAATGAATTGAAAAATGACCAAAATTTACAGCAACAATGCATTGTTAATTAAGACTAAAGTTTAATAAAGGAATCAGGAAATTTAATAAAATTTAACAGGGGTGAGCCACATGTATTCAAACCTGGGACCATACCCGTGTGGCTACTGTAATTTTCAAAAAGAAGACATCAGAGAGGGGGTTGGGGAGATTCAAAATCGGACTACAGGAAGAGAAAGGATAGAATAATTAATTAATTAATTAAATTTGAGGCGTGGGAATCAAACCCACAGCCTTCAGGCTACGAATGAGAGAAGAGAAAATTGAAGAAAAAAAAGAAGATGTGAGGCGTGGGAATGGAACCCAAGACCTCAAGGCTTGAAAGGAGAGGAGCGAAATAAGTTAGGAAATAAAGTGAAGTTGTGGGGACTCGATCCCACAACCTCAGTGCCAAAATACCTAGTTAAGCAAACATTAATTAAAAATAAAGTAAGGAGGATTTGGGGGTTTGAACCCACAACCTGATACAGGATGTGGGGGTTCGAACGCACAATCTCTCAATTCCAGTGCATATAATGAATAAAATAAAAGAGGTTGTGGGTGTTTGATCCCACAACCTATTGATTTTCTCATAATGGGACTAAAGTATTTTAATAAAAAATAAAAAGGGGTTGTGGGGGTTTTAACCCGCAACCCTTCGGCAAAATTAAAAGGAAAACCGAGTGGAAAACTAAAGATACAATGTTAATGTTGGTGTTTGATCTAGAGTCCCAGTGTCATGGAGATTAAAAATAAAATCAATGAAAAATGTAAATGTTATCCAAGTGATCCGAACTTGGGTTTCCTTGCCCAAATTTTCGTATTCAGACATAAGTGATACGTGTATTAATTATACAAGAATAATGCCACCTACATAGATATAAATCAAGATCTTTGCATATATACAATAAACATAAGTCTTGTATTACATAATCATAGGAAGATATGAGTTACTTAACAAAATATGATTGAAGTGCTCATGACTTGTGTGTATAGACTCATAACTCTAACATACGCTTAAAAGAAGTGAACCTAAGATGTATGTAATGAAATGTTAAAACCTTAGATGGGTTAAGTAAGAGTGTGAAACATACAAATGGCCAAGTGCATTAGCATATGATGAAATGAACATTCACGTAAAAAAAAAGGGTACGTAATTATGAAGAGCAAATGTGCTAATGTTAATTAATGTGGTGACAACATGATATGAGGCTAATGTAAAAGATTAGAATAATCTCAAATGAGCCTAAGTAAATGTTACCAAGACGTACTCACCTATGAATGTGTAAGTTAATGAAGAGACCAGTCACTATGAACACTCTAATGAAAGTATTGACATTAAAACACTTAATACTAATGATGATATGAGAATCATCTATTGAGCTGTTTTGTCCTCATATTACAAGCCAGATTCCATGACGTATGAGTTGAATATAATAGAACTTTATACTAAGCACTGATATACTAGCTATGAGTGCTTATGCCTTTTTTTCGGGAAGGGCAGAGGTTCATGTAACTCTCATAAGATGAGACTGTCCAGCTTGCCGGGTATGGGTCTCCTTATATTTCCTTGTCTTCGAACCTATACAACCAATATAGGGATCTGGAGGGGTTAAATTCCCATGCACTCTAGCATGTTATGGGTAACTTTGGCCAGTTTTCTACCTCTTTTCTGTGAGGGGGAGACACTGCATTTCCTGATGCTCACATGATCTATGTTGGTTAAAGTAAAGTTCCCAAGAAATGAATGAATTAGGTCAACCTTAAATGATTTACATATTGAAATAAAGGATACCGAAGGTGTTAGGATAGGATAATAAAAAGGTGAATTAGACTCAAGTAATGACATTAGGTCATTCTTGGTCATTGAACAACGAACCCGATGAAAGTCTTAAACTATATCCTAGGTAAAGCTGGTGGTCTCACTGGCTCACGAATGAAATTAAATGGAGTACATATTAATGAATGTAGACGACAATGTGTTTGCTAATGAAGACTCCCTAGTTGAGGTTCCATCTGTAGAGCCCTCATTTCTGGGATGTCTTAAAGTGAGTCCATTATTCCAAGGTCTTATGGCATATTAATAAATGATATGAAACGCTATATGCAATATGATATGTGCTGTGTGTATGATGTTATACGTTGTGTGTGCAATATGAAAAGTATGATGATGTATGCTATTATCATGGCATTATTTTCCTAATCAAAATCAGGAAAGCTCACTGACTTTCCTAATCTAAATGTGGAAAGCTCACTGACTTTCCTAATCTAAATTTTTAAAGATCACTAACTTTCCAAATCCCAATTTTGCAAGTACACTAACTTGACTTTCCTTAATCATATTGTCAGGAATGATCTATTCTTTCTCATGCATGTCCTTGGTGTGTGCTTGCATATAACCATACTTAGTACAAGTGTGTACTAACCCTATACAATCCTACTATTTTAGGTGCAGGCACAGGTGGACACTAGTGCTACAGGATTGACGCAAAAGATATCCGGACATCCAGCTTTCATCCGGACATGATAGGTCCACATGCTTTCGAGGATGTTGTTTTTCAATATTCTAGCTTCGTTTAAGAGTTGATCTATTAGAGCATGTTCCACTAGCATTTCTTTACTGTTTTAATAGACTTTGTATTGTTTCCATTTGGGCAGTTTATACAGTTAATAGAGTAATGAACTATTTCTTTCATTTGAATATCTCTTAATGTTAAGATGGTTGATGGTGAACAATTGTGAATGTAGTGGAATGTTTAATAATCATGTTTCGAAGGAAAATGTTTCAAATTTTCTGCTAAAATTAACCAAACTGAAGTAAGAATGATGTAAGTAGGCTTGTCTGCGATCTCTAAGAGGTCAATGACGCCGGTTTTTTGGGGGGTCTACACTCTTGTCGTGACAAAGTTTGTGTCCAAGCACTAGGTTAAATTTCAAGAATAATAGGTACACATCAACAACATTTAGAAGTTTCTAAGTCAAGGTAGTGCAATGCACCACTATCCTGAATTAGAGACTCTATGTTGCGTCGGAAAATTCCCCTTCTTCACATCCTATCATGCTTTTCCTAATGTATGAGTTGTTGGTGTTATGAGCGTGTCCCACATCAATCCTTGTTGATTCAGAGAATCAACACTGGGAGAGCTATGGGTCAAAGGAGAGGAGGAGCAGTTGATGGGGGCAATCAGGATCCACCCCAGGTTGCATCTGAAGGAGTGGCTATGCTAGTTAACTCAACTGGGTTGAGTGATCGTGAGGTGAATGCATCTCTAGCCTAGATAGCACAGGCTATTACTAGGCAGGCCTAGGCTATGACATCCCAGGTCGATCGGCAGAATGTTCAGAGGGAGAACCCACCGGTTCGCAGCATGGCTGATAGGCTACGAGACATTACGAGGATGAACCCTTCTATTTTCTTAGTGTCTAAGACATCAGAAGATCCTCAGGGATTTGTCGATGAGGTGCATAAGATTCTTGTGGCTATGGGGGTCACAGATACTGAGAAGGCTAAGACGTCTTGCTGTCAGCTCAAGGATGTTGCATAGACTTGGTGCAAGATGGCCGTATTTGGGGTGGAGTGGCTGTCACTTGTTAGCTATTAAAGAAAACATATCTTGAGAGTTTCTTTCTCAAAGAGATGAGCGTATCCAAGGTTGAGGAGTTCATCAACCTTAAACAAGGATCCATGATAGTGAGGGAGTATTCCCTGAAGTTTGTTAAGATATCCACATATATTACTTTCCTTATTATTTAATAATTAGAATGAGGAGAGTACTGAGGCTTGTTAAATTATCCAAGTAAGGTACTTCCCTGGACTCGAACAATAGGGATGAAATGAAAAAGTTCCTCATAGGAATTAATGGAGACCTGGAGGAGGAGTGTCGGTCTGCGATGCTCCATGATATAATGGACCTTTCTAGGTTGATGTTGCATGTCCAGCAGGTGTAGGAAAGCCGCACAAAGAGGAATTTTCATAACGCTAGGAGACCTAGTCCCCAAGATCAGGCAGGTCCCAGCCGTGGAGGCCACAGAAACAACTTTTGCGTCTGTGAGCATCAAAACTTAAAGAAGGGACAACAGAGTTCCGGGAACTCTAATCCTCTGAGGAGCACTAAACCTAGAAGAGGCAGACCTGAGCCTAAGAAGGGCAATGGAGGTGAAATGCAACTTTCCAAGAAGAATTGTGCTAAGTGTGGCCGTGTTCATAGTGGAGAGTGCAGACATGGCACTAATGCCTGCTTCAGTTGTTGTAAGAGTGGGCACATGGTCAGATATTGTCCACACAACGGAGGTCAGGCCGGAGATAATGCTCAGCCTAGGCCTAATCCACAGGGTGCAGCAGCAACCGAGACTCCTAAGAGGAATAGGTTCTATGCCCTGCAGGGTAGGTAAGAGAAGGACAAGTCTACCGAAGTGGTCACAGGTATGCTTCAAGTATTCTCAACTTTTATTTATACTTTACTTGATCCAGGGTATACGCTTTCCTTCGTAACTCCTCTGCTTGCCTCACTTTTGAAATATTACCTGAAGTTCTGCATGATCCTATAGTGGTTAGTATGCCTTTAGGAGAAAACGTAAGAACGGATAGAGTATACAAGGATTGCCCAATAGTTATATGTGAAGACTTGGTTGAATTACCCATACATGATTTTGAAATCATTCTTGGCATGGCCTGGTTTCATAAGTGTTTTGACTTCATGGATTGTCGTAGTAGGGTTGTGAGATTTTGCTTCCCTATTGAAGAGGAGTTAGTCTTGGGGATGTATAACCCGAGTCGTCCTAGTCCCCTGATTTCCAATCCTAAGGCCAATAAAAATGATGTCCAAGGGGTTATTATGTCATCTTGTTAGTGTTAATGATTTTGTTATGACATTCCTTCCATATAATCAGTACCTGTAGTTTATGAGTTCCAAGATGTGTTCCCTGATGATTTGCCAGGAGTCCCTCCCCTTCGAGAGGTTGACTTTGGTAACGATATAGAGCCCGATACTAAACCAATCTCAATTACTCCTAATAGAATGTCTCCAGCAGAACTCAAAGAGTTGAAGTTGCAGTTAAAAGATCTCATTGATAAGGGTTTCATTCAGCTGAGGATATCTTCTTTGGGGGCTCCAGTGTTGTTTGTAAAGAAGAAAGATGTAAGTCTTAGGATGTGTATCAATTATCGACAGCTCAACTAAGTCACTATCAAGAACAAGCATCCACTTCCAAGAATAGATGACTTGTTTGACCAACTCTATGGGTCTTGTTTCTTTTCAAAGATTAATCTTCATTTGGGGTTACATCAGCTTAGAGTTGGGGATGTAGATATCCCAAAGACAGCCTTTCATACCCGCTATGGTTACTATGAGTTCCTTGTCATGTCATTTGGTCTCATGAATGCACCTGCTGAATTTGGATATCATGAACGGGGTCTTCCGTGAACACCTATAATCTTTTTTCATATTATTCATTGATGACATTCTCATCTACTGTAAGACTAAGGAAGAGAATGGACAGCATTTGAGACAGCCTTGCAGGTTGTTAGACAACATCAGTTATATACCAAATTCAGTCTGAATTTTGGATGACATCAGTGACCTTCCTGGGTCATGTTGTGTTCGATCCGGGTTTAGAGGTGGACCCCTGGAAGACTGAGGCTGCTAAGAACTGGCAAAATCCTCTTACTCCCACTAATATCCGTAGCTTTCTGGGATTGGCTGGTTTCTACCACATGTTTTGTGGAGGTATTTTCTTCCATTGCTGCCCCACTTACATCTTTGACGAAGAAGAGAGCCAAGTTTGAATGGACGGAGACTTGTGAGAAAAGTTTCCAGGATCTCAAGGACAGACTCACTTCAGCCCCAGTGCTTACTTTGCCTATGTGTGGTGACAATTACAGTTTTTACCGTGATGCATCTAGGGTTGGTGTAGGTTTTCTTATGTAGGCTAGTAAAGTGAAAGCATATGCTTCCATACAGATCAAGGTTCATGAGAAGAATTATCCCACTCATGAGGTAGAGTTGGCAGTTGTGGTGTTTGAACTTAAATTGTAGAGGCATTACCTGTATGAAGTGCATATGGATGTGTTCACAAACCACAAGAGTCTCCAGTATGTGTTCATACAAAAGGAGTTGAATCTAAGTCAATCGAGATGGTTGGAGCTATTGAAGGATAATGACATGACTTTGCACTAGAATCCAGGTAAGGCTAATGTTGTGTCTTATCCTTTGAGCAGGATAAGCATGGGGAGTACAACCCATGTTAAGGATAAGAAGAATGAGTTAAGGAAAAAGATACACAAACTAAACATACTAGGTGTGTGATTTATTAACTCTACTAGTTGGGGTGTTTTAGTTCATCTTTGTTCTGAATCATACATCGTAGTTGAAGACAAGAAATTTCTACCTCTCGATCCTATGTTGATGGATCTAAAGGACTCAGTATTGATAAAGATGAATGAGTTTTTCGCTTTGGGAGGTTATGGAATACTAAGGTATCAGAACAGGCTGTGTGTAACAGATGTGGATGATTTACGGACCAGGATTGTGACAAAGGCCCATGGTTCCAGATATTCCATACATCTTGGTTCCACCAAGATGTATTATGATCTTAAGCATACCTATTGGTTGGATGGCATGAAAAAGGACATCGCAGAGTATGAGGTTCCGACTTGGAAATGGGAGGCCATTAGTATAGACTTCGTAGTTTGTATTCCGAAGACTAGGAGGAAGCATGACACCATATGGGTTATTGTGAACGGATTGACTAAGTCTGCTCACTTTATCCTTGTGAAGTCTACCTACAGAGCCGAGGATTATACGAGACTTTATATTGATTAGATTGTGGGTGGCAAGGGATTCCTTTGTTTATCATTTAAGATAAAGGAGCTCAGTTTACTTCACTTTTCTTGAGATTTTCAATAAAATCTTGGGCACGCATGCAAAGCTTAGTACCACCTTTCATTCTCAAACTGATGGGCAGGTAGAGCGCACTATTAAGACATTGGAAGTGATGTTGAGGGCGTGTATGATTTTCTTTAGAGGTAGCTGGGATGACCATCTGCCTTTGATAGAGTTCTCATTTAATAATAGCTATTACTCCAGCATTAGAATGGAACTGGTTGAGGAATCATGGTAGGAGGTGTAGATCTCCGTTTTGGTGGTTCGAGGTTGGAGAGTCATCCATTTTGGGTCCAGAGATCATTAATGAGGCCTTGGAGAAGGTCAGAGTGATTAGGGATAGGTTGGCTACTACATACAGCCCGACAGAAGACATATACAGACAACAAAAAGCGGCCTTTAGAGTTTGATGTTGGTGACCAGGTTTACTTGAAGATATCACTTATGAAAAGGGTGAGGATATTTGGTAGAAAAGAGAAGCGGATTCTGAGATATGTTGGGCCATGTGAGATCCTACACCGTGTGGTAGAGGTGGCCTATGAGTTAGCGTTGCCTACCAAGATAGATTTTATTCATGTAGTCTTTCATGTATCCATGTTTAAGAAGTGCCTAGGTGATCTAGCATAGATTCTATCTGTTGAAGGTTTGGGGTTCGATGAAGACTTGTCTTATGAGGAGGTACCTTGTAAGATCCTAGAAAGACAGGTCAAGCGGCTGAGGAACAAGAAGATTGCCACAGTGATGGTATTGTGGAGAAACCATCTTGTTGAGGGTGCTATGTGGGAGGCTGAGGCCGACATTAAATCTCGCTACCGTCATCTTTTCAGCTCTTGAGGTTAGACTTCCTACTCTTAAGTCTATTTTTCCTTATATCTCCGTATTTTGTTGCTATTACTTGATTGTGCATAGTGATTAAGTTATAATCTGACTGGCATTTATTATGTAGTCGTATTGTCATTCGAGGATGAATTTTCCTAAGGGGGATAATTTAACAACCCTAAAAATGAATAAGTTAATAAATGCTTAGTGTGTCAACAATGCTTACAATTAAACCAAGGTTCACACGGATTGATACCCGTATAACAAGACTTTGAACCCTTAGTACGGCCAAGCCAACTAACTTGTGGAGTTATTTGAGATTTTAAAGGTTGGCACCAACAATATAGGGCTCTCGAAAATGAAGATTTAATCGAAGGAGTCTTTATCATACTTAAAAAGAGGAAATCTTAAGTTTTGAGGGTCTAGGTGTAAAATGGTATTTTCCAGGCCAAGGTTAATATTGTAATTGCCCTAAGGAATTAATTAATTAATTAATTAATTTAATTAAAGAACAAGTTAGGGTTGGGTCTACTCGAAATGACCAATTTTCACAAAACAGAGTCACCCGGGTTCGAGCCCCAATTGAAGCAACATATTGGTGATTTATTTATTATTTAAAATCTAATTTTTAAGGTACAAATGATCCTTTCATGTATAACTAATTAAATCAGATTTTAAGTATGAAGGAAAGTCCTAAATTGACTAAGTCATTATCTAAGCCTAAACAACTTCACATGTTTCACTCTCTCACGTCTATCACATCCTCACGTTCAAACTCTATTGTTTTCTCTTCCAATTAACGTGAAGAACAGAAAACATAACAATGTTTTTTCACACTTAAAGAACTCACAAAAAAAATCTATGAAAGCAAGCTGATCAAAAACGCTAAGGCAAGGGGGATTGTCGTCGAGTTGGTGATGAATTTTTATTTGAGTTGGACGTGGTTTTGGAGAAAGGTTTGGAAAGCAACTTCGGCGTTTGAAAATTAATTAAGGTATGGGTTTCTTCTCTCTTGGTCCCTTTCTCAAGAGACCCCTTAAGGTTAAAGATATTCATTCCAAAAACTAAGGTGGTTCCCCATTGCATGTCCCTGTCATTAGCTCCCATTGAATTATAGGTAGGGTATGTTTTCTGGTACAAAGAAGGGATGAGATGTCTTTCCGTGATGCTTATGTTTAAGTATGCATGTTCGGAACTATGTGAATATTGAATATATTTTCCGAAATCATGTGAAAAAGTAATGTGCGTGTGTAACGTGTAGCAGTGAACTTAGTCAATGTTGGAATTGTGAAATGGCATGTTTAATCCTTGTATTTTATGTGCAAAAGCTGTACACAAAGTGATGTTCACTGTAATGAATCATTGCTGATTAAATAACAATCTCTTAGCCAAATAAACCTATGAAAGATGCGCCTAAAGATGTGTTAAATTGGTCTACAAATTTCCTTAGAAGTTTAAATGAAAACGTTCATAAAAATTGATTGAAAATTGACCATGATTTAAAGCAACAATGCAATGTTAATTTAGACAAAAGTTTAATAAAGGAATCTGGAAATTTAATAAATTTTAAAGGGGTGAAGCAAACAGGATTCGAACCCGTGACCTCACCCGTGTGGCTACTATAATTCAAAGAAATAAGAATAGAAAAAGGAGGCTGGGGGGATTCAAAATTGGGTTATTGGAAGAGAAAGGATAGAATAATTAGTTAAATAATTAAATGGGAGGCGTGGGAAACGAACCCATGACCTCCAAGTTGCGAAGAAAAGAGAAAATTAAAGAAAAAAAAGAAGATGTGAGGCATGAGAATCGAACCCACGACCTCAAGGATAGAAAGTAGAGGAGCGAAATAAATAGAAATAAAGTGAGGATGTGGGGACTCGATCCCACAACCTCACTTCCAAAACGCCTAGTTAAGCAAACTTTAATTAGCAATAAAAGTAAGATGGTTGTGGGGGTTCGAACCCACAACATCACAGCCTTGGCGAATTTAAAAATTTTAAAAAGGAGGTTGTGGGGGTTTGAACCCACAGTCTCTCGATTCCCATCAAATATAATGAATAAAATAATAGAGGTTGTGGGGGTTGGATCCCACAACCTCTTGATTTTGGTGAAATGGGACAATAGTATTTTAATGAAAATTTTAAAGAGGTTGTCAAGGGTCGAACCCACAATCCTTCGGCCAAATTAAGAGGAAAACTATGTAGAAAACTAAAGATACGATGTTAATGTTGAGATTCGATCTAGAGTCCCAATGTCATGGAGATTAAAATTAAAATCAGTGAAAATATAAATGTTTTTCACTTGATTCGAACTTGGGCCTCCTTCCCAAACTTATGTATTGATACATAAGTCATATGTTAATTAAATATACAAGAATAATGCCACCTACTTAGATCAAAATCAAGATCTTGGCATATATACAAGATACATAAGTCTTGACCTACCAAATCTTCAGAAGATAAGACTCACTTAACGAACTGAATGAAGCATCATGGCTTGTGTGTATACACTCATAACTCTAGCATACGTTTAAAAGAAGTAAACCTAAGATGTATGTAATGAAATGATATAACCCTAGATGGGTTAAGTAAGAGAGTGAAACACACAAATAGCCATGTGCTTTAGCATATGATGAAATGAACATTCCCGAATCAAAACGAGTGAGCAATTATGAAAAGCAAATGTGCTAATGTTACCTTAGTAAATATTACCAAGACGTACTC